CGGGGGCTGCCTTTCTCTGGTGCTCCGTTCGGAAGACGTCTTCATCCGACTCGGACTCCGAGCTGGATCCGGCGTCTTCTCTGTGCACCGGGGCAGACTTGGGGTTGTCTTTGCTGGTCAGCGGACGCTGCAGCGTTTCTGCGGCTTTTGTGGAGGCTTCATGAGCCCTGGCCTCGTCTAGGGCTCCAGCAAGCGTTAAATCAGGCTTGGCGAGCAGGCGCCGTTGCAGCCTAATGTCCCGGACACCACAGATGAGTTGCTCAAGCAACGCATCGTCCAAGTCTCTATAGTCGCAATGGGTTGCGGCTTTTCTCAGGCTGGCCATGTATGCGCTGACCGGTTCTCCCTCTCGCTGTACGCGCTGTCTGAGTTGGTATCGTTGCACGAACTTGGAGGGCATGGGAGCGTAGTGAGCCCGGAGCGTGGCCATCAGGGTGTCCCAGGAAACCGTCTGGACCGGCGTTGGCTTGCACAGTGACTCTGCCATCTCGAACACGTCCGGTCCGCAGTGGCTTAGGAAGAGGGCCCTCTTCCGATTAGCGGAGAGCCCTTGCATGTCGCTGACTTCGAGCGAGCATTCGAACCTCGTCAGGTACGAGACCCATTTTTCGCGGGTCGGATCAAAAGGCTTGGGCGGAACGTAGGCAGACATGTTCGGTGTGCCTCCTGTAGTTCGCCTCGTCGCCTAGCTGAAGCTCGTGGTCTCACTGGTTCGCTTGTTGTAACCTCTATCCCACCTTCGTCGCCAATGAAGTGGTTCCGGAATAACGAGAGGCACAACCAAGCAAGTGACAACAGCTCTTTAATTTACAGTGAGACTTCAGCAAAAACTCAGAGGCTGCAGCCCTCCTTATATACAATCCTGGAGGGACTGTCAGCCAATCAGAAACGTAGGCAGGTTTGAAACTCCCGCTCAAAAGTATCAATACATAACACCCGCCATCGCCCTTACCTTTTCAGGCCAGGCCTTTGCAGCTCTCTGCACCACAGCAGAAACTTGGGGGCCCCCTCCATCCTCCCTACACAGATGTTCTCTGGGGGCTTGACGGGGAGACACATAGCAGGGAAGGGAAGGGAAGGGAGGGAGGGGGTGTGGTGGGGGTTCGAGGCTTGTTTGGGGCTTCCCGCCCGAAGGAAGGAAGTGGCAAAGCCAGGAGCCACGCACACCCCACTGGACCCCTGCTGTGCAGTTCTCCTCCCCTGCCTGCCAAGGGTAGGGGAATGATTAAATCCCCCGCTCTTCCAGGCGAAACGAGGAGGGCCAGCCATCCTTCCTCCTGGCTGTTTCTGCCCCCCGAAGCCTCCTCAGAGCTCCTTTTCTGCCAGAGGCCGAAATTTTTGTGTAGGCTCCGTGAGTTGCCAGAGCGCCCACCTGGGAATCAAAGGCGGCGCTGGTCAAAGGCAACCCCGAGGTTCCAGTTGCCTCCATCTCCCGCTCACCAACCGGATTCACATAGCGCCGGTTAGCAGCTGGTCTTTCTGACCTCGGGGCCCTTGGTAGTGCTGGGCCAGGTGCGATTCGGGCCAGGCGAGGGACGGAGGGTTCCCACTCGGCAGACCCAGGCAGCCTCGTTGCCAGGTGTTCTTTGGAGGGATGGGCAGCATTGGCGGGTGAGGCTAGTTTGCAGGGTGGCTGGGGGAGGGGGAGGTAAGAGCCAGGCTCGGGTGGGCCCCACCCAGCCCTAGAAGCTTCGGCTGCGAGGGCTTCGGCTGCTGAGCCTGGTGTCAGGATATGGCCCTCGGGCGTCTCTGCCTTCCAAATGTGCAGTTTCTTGGAAGCAATATGGAGAGTCTAAATATAAGGAGCAGAAATCTGTTGAGCGTAATCAGGGCTGGGAGGCTGCCATGTTGGTTTTATGTCCAGCAGATGGCACTGTTTTTCAATGTTTTTCAATGTTTGTCAATGTCTTTCAATGTTTTCCAATGTTTTTCATGTTTTTACCTGTCACAGGTGTGACATGTATATAATATAAGTATATAAAAACATGCCCATAGTCGAATGCAACGTTGTGTCAAAATTTGAAAGCAATCGGTGAAGAACTTTCAGAGATGTGCGGTTATGTACAAACGGACATTTACATTTTTATTTATATAGATTACTGATAAAAAGGCTGGCCATATGTGAGACTACAAAACAGTATTCTCCTTTGGACACTGAATTTCATCTCCCAGAAAATATTTATGTAGGACCAAATGCTAATTGTTAATTTTGGCTCCAAAATTCCTGCTCATCAATGAATCCCAATGGGCTTAAGATTTCCATGGGGGAAAAATAGTGGTGGTTGGGAAATATGCATCTTGAGACTTTGTAGGGAACTGGATACCAAGATAAGCAGCCTTCATGGAAGGCTGCTTATTATCTGAGAGTATGAGGTGACTTCTAGATGGCAGGGTGCAAAGTGCACATTCATTTGTGAGAGACATCTTTTTTTCATGCATTTGGAGTTATCATAACAGCCATTGGCTGCATTGTCATCAAACTCTAGGGATGAGTTACACATTGTCTGAGCAATCTATTGGCCTAGAAAATCTTAAACCCCTCCCCACAAACATGTCATTTTGAAAAAGTGGACATTCAACATCCGTCTGTTCACAACGATAGTAGCAGGCTTCCTGAGAGATGGATCACAATTTGTGCAAATAAAACTCAAATCCAGAGGCCTTGGAAATCAAAGGGTGGTTGGGAGAGGACTTTCAGCCAATAACCCACATCTATTTAAAACAAAAAACAAATAACCAATGCAGAATAATATGTTAAATCAGCAGCTAAAATATGTGGTATAAAAACATTATTGCTTTATTTAGTCAGAGAATTCTGTAAAACAGATCCCTAGGTAAATGTTCATTTAAATAAATTTCTGATCTCAATTTTCACATTGCAGGATGAAGTTAAGGCTAGGAAATAACTGTGTATAAATTGCCATGCCTTCTCTCTCTCTCTCTCTCTCTCTCTCTCTCTCACACACACACACACACACACACACACACACACAGATGGGCTTCATTTTCCTTCCATGCAAAAGGTATTGATTTAACAGTAGGATCCATAGCGGAATCACTGTTGCTAATTTACAAAATCTCTATCTTTTTAGAGATGATTTCTGTTGTAATTATTGTAGTCATTGGTGATCTCAGATAAAAAAACAGAATGTCCGTCTGCATAAATACTTCTGAAATATGACAACACGCTTTAAAGCCTAACCTAAACCTGCTTTGGCAACTCCAGAAGGGTTATTGGAAATGTAGTGGAAGACTGAAATATTCAAAGGGAGGACTGTGGGAGACGATGTGGGGGATATGTAGAATTGAAATTGAGGATGGAGGGTGGGGAGACAATCTTTTTAAGGGGTAGATGGCTTGTGTTTAATTTTTAAAACAGCAATCCCATATTGCCTAATGCTGGACCCCACAAATATGAAAACAAGAATGCTCTTTATACAGACTTTCAGCAGATCTCACTGTTAAGTTACACATTATGGTGGCCATATGGAAGCCACCACAATTTTGTGGTGCTCTCTGTAAGCCTGGAAGTCCCTTGAATCAGAGTGGCACCATATGTCCCTACTTCCCAACCCCAGGATTGCTTGACCTCAGCCACCACTGAGGGGATGATATATGTGGTAGGTAAACATTCTAATCTGGCTCCCACATGGGAGTGCTGTCAAGCAGTAGTGCTTTAACTTGGCCTAAACTTTAGGCCAAGACTGGGTTAGACCCCTCTCAGTGCAAAATAATGCTACAAAATAAAGCATTGTTGTAAGACTTCTCTCTGGCAATGTCAGTTAACCAACCCCCCAGTGGTAAGATTCAAAATTTTTTACTACTGGTTCTGTGGGCGTGGCTTGGTGAGTGTGGCATGGCTTGGTGGGCGTGGCAGGGAAAGGATACTGTAAAATCTCCATTCCCACCCCACTCCAGGGGAAGGTTACTGCAAAATCCCTATTTCCTCCCAATCAGCTGAGACTCGGGAGGCAGAGAATAGATGGGGGCGGGGCCAGTCAGAGGTGGTATTTACAGGTTCTCTAAACTACTCAAAAATTCCACTACCGGTTCTCCAGAACTGGTCAGAACCTGCTGAATACCACCTCTGCAACCCACCCACCCCCAGTCATTCTTTGAGCCACTCTCTGTGCAATGCTATCTAGTACACAGGCAGTCAACATCCTGTTTACATGTTGATGTATCTCTAATTTCATTGAAATCTGTATTCAGGAAATAGGCTACCTCTTTTCCTCTAAAATAATCTAATTCAGAAGACCATAGCTGCCCATTCAGAAAGCCCAGCCCAGGTACCTCCTTACTTGGGAATTAATCCTCAGCGGAGCTTAAAGTCTTGCAAGGAAAAGAAACATTGCAAAGAACTGTCAATAAAGATTCTCAGTCATCCGGGTAGATGTTCGTCAATATATTGCCATGCCTTTTGGGGAAGAAACCCTGAGGTTGGTGTGGGAATACTTCTAAGAATTTTAAGAGTTGGACCATTCCAATGACTCTCTGCCTACTCAGATTCCCCTAATCAACTTGTTCAGATTGAAGAAGCTACTTGGGTAAGCAGCGAAAGGTCTCTCAAACCAGGGGTGAAATCCAGCAGGTTCTGACAGGTTCTGGAGAACCGGTAGTGGAAATTTTGAACAGTTTGCAGAACCGGCAAATACCAGCTCTGGCTGGCCCCAGAGTGGGTTGGAAATGGAGATTTTGCAATATCCTTCCCCTAGAGTGGGGTGGGAATGGAGATTTTGCAGTATCCTTCCCCTGCCAAGCCACGCCCACAGAACCGGTAGTAAAAAAAATCCAATCGCAATGACTCAACTCCCAGACATTGCAACGAAACTCAGAGATAACTTCAAGTTGTTTTAAGAACATCTTGATGAAGTGTTCGTCCCAACTGCAAATATCTTTAAATGCCAAACTGGAAAGTTTACTACTTTAAAACAACTGGCTAGTCTAATAAAATCTACTGCCTCTTACCTCTCCCTCACCTTTTCTCTTTTTCTCTCTAGGTTCATGTCCTTTCTCCGCTACTCATTTCTGAAAAATGTCACTTGTGGAAGATAAAAAAAATAATAATGGAAACTGTGGGAGGGCAAGGAAAGGACTAGAGGCAACAGCACTCTTCAGTAGTCAAACTGAATGGCTGAACTACTGGAAGATTATTTGAAATTACCCATTTAGGCAATTATGTTCCTGTCTGCCAAGACTTATGCTGGAGTGGTAGGCCTTTCAAGTTCTTTTTCTTGTCTTATGACAATTTAGAAAGGAGCTAAATTTTTCATTCCGTTTCACTAGGCAGGACTAAGGTAAGACTATTTTGATTAAGTGTCTGAGCAGACTTTTTTGAACTCTATTAAATCAGAGAACAACAGTCACTGCGAATATGTGATGGCTCAGGGTCTCTCCATGGTTTTTATGTCTTTTCTTTCCTAACAGAATTCAGAAATGTGCAGCCCTACTCTAGAATACACCTTTCTCAGGATATATTTCTTAAGTGCGTGTGGGCATTGTAGAATAAGGTGTGCTCATTTAAAAAACAACAATGCCGTCCTAATTTATTTTTATTTTTATAATATGCAGAAAGAAAGAATCCAGGCAAAAAGGATACCCCTGTCTATTCTATATCTATATTCATGTTACGCTGGACAATTACATTATTAGCATTCAAGACCAGTAAGAAGAAGAAAAAGAAAGAAATTAACATTTTGCCCAGTGTAAGCAATCTGCATTTTTAAATAGTCCCCCAAGTAGAATTCCTATTCAGTCTGATAATGAAAGACAAGTGAACTTTTCAGACAAGATAGAAAGTGGATGTAATTCTAATTCTGTAGCATCTGTCTCTTTGCAATCAGAATATCCATTTTTTAAAAATCTTTCTATTAGTTTCCAGACTGTGGGAACTGTTGCATTTGGAGTGCTATGCGTCCAACAATTATCTGAACATACTGATTTCTTCCTTAAAAGAAAGATAGGCTTGCAATTTTTGCAAACTATTTTTTTTTGTTCATTTAATCATGTTTGAATCTAGGTATATGATATCTCAATGCAAAATGGTATTCATGTACTTGGCATTCTAATTCAATTTTTCATACTTCCCTATATGCCTGTACATATAATCTGGCATATTCCAGCAACTGTTCATAATTAGTTACTATTCATGGGGCTACCAAGACACAGTTCTTTCATTTTGTGTATAAAGCATATGCATCTCCCACATTACACAAGGTTCTTACAGCAACACCCAAAATTCATCTGCAAGTGTGCATTTCTACCCTACACAGCCAACTTGGGGAATTGCACTACAACATATTTGAAGGACTTAATATAGTTTTGCATTAACACTCTGTCAATGTATGCTTCTCACTGAAAGAAGTTGCAAAATATATGGAACGTATCTTGTGGATCAGGGGTCCCTAACCTGTGGGCCTCAGCCCACTACAAGGCCGTGACCTATTTGCAACTTGTCTGTGTGAGTTGTGAGCTGGCACATGCACCCAGCCCCACTCATGTGAGCAGTGGGCGCTGGTGCTCACAGTCCCACTTGCACGAGTGATGGGTATGTACACCCGCCGCCTCACGTAAATGAGGCTGTGCATGCACGAGCCTGCCTCTCACACAAAACCATCTGCTCTTCCCTCCTTGCCCCCCCTCCCCGGTGCCGGACTGCCAACCTGAAAAGGTTGGGGAACGCTGCTGTAGATTACTATGTCTGCCATAATATGATGCCTACCAGTTCTATCCCACAATCAGTGCAGAGCTGTCCAGGTAAAGTAGGAATGAGGAATGAATGATCCTACAGATGTCATTGAACCGTAATTTAGTAATATCTTAACTAAGTTGAGGATTCTCTGATTTCTTATCAAATGAACTAAACAGAAGAAAATTAGTCAGCTAAAATATTTGGGGACTATCTATGTGTTCTGCCCCAGCTATGGACCCCAAAGAATGTAGCACACACAAAGTCTGTACAAACCTTAGTTTACTAAATTAAATCAGTCTTTTTCATATAAAGGCTGTTAATTAACTTTCTTAACAGTCTATAAGAATCCAAAGAATAGATAATCGTAATCTTACTATGGTTGACAGACAGCCCAGAAGCAATTTGCAGGAAACTTGATAAGAGAACTAAGATCAGGACGCGAAGGAGAGTGAACGAAGTTGTTCCCTGAAAATTGCCTCAGTCATCGTCCTTCCTTAAATAGGCTAAGGGAGTGGCCAATTAGCTTCAAGCCTTACTCTCGAGGAGACCTCCTCCTGAGGAACCACTCCTGCCTTTTGGCAGCTCTGCGCACCCGTGCATCGAGAAGAGGCTCCTCCTCTTCTTCCTTTTCACTTATGGAAGCTTCTGGAGGTTCTGAAGGCCCTGGCTGAATCCCCGCCTCTGGCACCACATCTTCTCCAGCTCCTCATTGTCTGACTCGAGTGCCAGCTGCACAGGCTGCTGACACAGTATCACACCAGCCTCCTCACTATCGGAATCAGGTACTAGCTGCACAGGCCACTGACAGGCCACAACACTATGCTGATCTTCTTCCTCTATACATCTTCCTCTCATTATATTGAATACTAATGGGAGTTGCTATCCAGGGATAGATGTGCTCCAGGAATATCACTTTATTCTAAAATATGAAAGAATTTTATAGTCAACAATCAGGCATTTTGCTTTCATAGCAAATTTTCTTTTTTTTCTTTTTCTTTCTTTCTTTCTTTCTTTCTTTCTTTCTTTCTTTCTTTCGTTCGTTCTTTCTTTCTTTCTTTCTTTCTTTCTTTCTTTCCTTCCTTCCTTCCTTTCTTCCTTTCTCTTTCTTTCTTTCTCTCTCTCTTTCTTTTCCTTCCTTCCCGCCTTCCTTCCTTCCTTCCTTCCTTCCTTCTTCAGACATTGCATGGTGCATATAATCCCTGTATAGTAGGACTAGTGTTTTGTGTTCTATTGAGAATTTTTAAGAGTGCAACCAGACTAATATTATACTATAATTTTAATTGCTTCTTTTAATATTTGTTTCTTTTAAACAACTTTTCTTTATGATTCTTAATTATGTATGAGTTAATAAAAGTAACTTCTTGGTTTTCCTCATTAGCTCATGAAAGAAAGGGAAAGAAAGGACTAAAAGTAGGTCTCTTTCCTTTCTATGTGCTTTACAGTTTTCACAATAATTCACTTTTTATCAGGCATACATATATTTGGTGCCATCATAAACTCATATGCAATATAAAAATGTTGAATTATCTTCTCTATTTAAATTGTCCCTAAAAGTATTTTCTGCAGAAATGACTGGATGGTAAATAGAATGCAGCGTCCCACCCCTGTATCTTTGCTCACTATATTCTCATTTCTGTAAGTGAAAAGGTCTCCTGATATAACAATCTCTAATTGAGGTGACATGTAAACAGTTACAGAGTTGGAAGGGACCTTGGAGGTCATCTAGTCCACCCCCCTGCTCATGCAGGAGACCTATACTAGAGATTTGAACTACCGAACTGCCGACCTTTCTGATCGACAAGCTCAGTGTCTTAGCCACTGAGCCACCTAGTCAGGCTAAATCCCACACTGCTGAATATTGTAGATGGGAGAAGATGGGTACCCACAGGTACCCAGGTTGACTCATGAAGGACTTTAAAGATCATAATCACCACCTTTAATGGGATCCAGAAACCACCAGGATACCTCTCAGAGTAGAGCTGTTAGGTGGGTGCCCCAAAAATGTACTCACCATTCTTCTAGGTTGAGCTTCTAGGTTGAGCTTCTGAATTTTTTTTAAAGGCAGCCCCATGAAGAACCCCATATGATTTGGGACAGATTCATGGGTGCCATAGTCACTATAAACTCCTAAACTACCTGCATTCTGTCTCTCAGGAAGGCAGACTGCTGTTCCTGAGAAAAATAAGCCTTGGGAACTCCACTGCCAACCTTGTATTAATGAAGGAAGTCATCTTACAGCAAAGGGAACAATGAAAGAGCAGAATTCTTACCTTATTCCTGTAGCTCAATTTTATTAAGGTAACTAAGCTTAATCCAGCTCGTTTCCCCCACTCTGTCTTCTAGCAAACGGACATCCACTCCAGCTATGGCATCATGGGCCTCACATCAGGAAGTTCTTCTCCCTCCATGGCTGATGATCTTCTGCTGGTCCCAACACTGTCTGGAGCTGCCCAAGGCAATCCAGTTCATGCCTTCTATCTTCTTCCTGTCTGCTTCAAATCATCCTCATCTGTCTTACTACATTAGAGTGTAGCCAGTAGAGCCCGACTAGTTCAACTACTCTGTACCTTGACTTCTTAGACAGGTTTGGACATGTCTTCTTTTTCTGTATGGGCTTGATGGCATGTAATCATTCAATCTGTCAATTCAATCATAGGGTTTCTCAACCTTGGCAACTCTTAAGTTAGGTGGATTTCAACTCTAGAATAGTTGAGGTTGAGAAATACTGATCTAGACCAAAGAAGGTCCTTACTCAGTCTGATGGATAGCTCATATGAGCCAAGATCCTGAAAATTTTTCTGGGTCCTTGCTTTCTCAGTACTGTTATAGTGATTGATTGTGCTATTATTATTTATGTATTTTGTTATCAAATTTGCATACCATCCACCTTCCTTCAGATGGTTGGATTCCATGTGGTAATTTTCTTTTCTCTTGTGGGACAACAAGGGAAGCTCAGCTTAGCTCCCCTGGCCATCCATCCTATGGGAAGAAAATAAGGTGATCATTGGATTCTTAGGAGCAGGAAGAGGAAGTTGATTGAAGCAACAAGACTTTACTAAGCATTTGAAAACAAATGTGCATTTATTTTTCCTCAAGCCCATTTTCAAATAATCCTATCTGTGGATTGCTTTTTGGTTCAGAGATAACTCTTAGATTTCTTTCTACAGTTCTTGGCTCATTTTGGGCCCCTCTAAATCCTAGTTGAGTGGGAAGAGGAAGGTCTATCATTTAAAAAAAAGAAATTCTTGGGATCCTGATCTAGATTTCTGCTTGTCTCTCTATGTTTATCAGTGGGAATGATAAATAGGAAAATAGCCTAAATTGCAAATGGAAATAGAAATATATTCTGTGAGCAGAGTCCAAATCTTCAGAATGATACACTTCAGTCTGAAGTAAGAACAGCAGAGCAGAAGAAGACGGTACTATTGCTGGGATAGTTAAAGGCCTCCTCACTCAAAGCTTTCAATTTCATTAACTGATTAGATCAATAATATTCATCTTTGCCCTTAGGACCATAATTAATTTCATTTCATTGCTAATGGTATAGTAAGGGTATAACTGCGTTTGAAACAGAGAAGATGAAGGAGTACCTCTCCACAGATGAGAGATGATTTATACTGAGAATTTGGCTTAGCAGGGAAATATAGTAGTTAAGTATTTACAGCTTTTCTAGGAAACATAACTGCCCAACAACACTTAGTTACCCTAACTTAATTAAACATATGGAGGGTATTTTTTAAAAAAATATTTGCATACATACTTCAAGGAACTCTGTGCTGGAATCACCTTGAATTA